CAGAATGGATTGCCACATCTGCTGGTTCAGTAAAAAACATGGATTGGGTGTCAACCATCAGAAACCTTTAGTGCCCTGAAGTCAGCAGGGCAAATACCATCCTGGCCTCTTTCTTTAGCAAAAGATGGAAAGTATAGATTACATCCAATTAGCTTATGGTCTGTTAAACTTGGGCAAATACTTTTCCCATTACATTTTTTCTAGACTTCACAACAACTACATAAAATTTTGACAACCAGTGCAAAGTATTTTCTTCATGGCATGGGAAATGTTCAGGCTTAACATATTCATGTGTAGTTTTCTGCTGGACTTTTTGTTCAGCAGTGGTAGCAGTGAGTTCCTGTGTTCCATGACATCTGAGAATGCGTGGAAAGAAAAATGAACAGGAAAACTCCCTCTTTTGGGGGGATGGGGAGGGGGAGAAAAAAGTATTTGTTACATTCCAAAATCAGTCATAATAATGGAAGTTCACATCAAATAATTGCCAGAGTCAGAATGGAGAAACATCTGGTTATTCATCCCTAGCTATACTAACAAAAATATGATATCCTGTTAGAGAAATCACTGATCGTCCTGGTTTATTTTGGCGATAGAGCACCTTGGTATTTTTCACTTAAAAAAGAACATATCAGTACTTTATAGCTAGCATATCTCCAGTTCCAGGTTCACAGTTCATGTGCTTCTGTAACTTTGAGCTCTTCCTTTCCTGAGTTTACCAGCAGACAGCTGCACTAGAACAGTTATGTTTACATGTGGGGAGTAAATGGCAACTTGCATATCAGAGTTTCCATTTCCTTTTACATTGTTCAGGAATCCAGGCTCACAATTCGTCCTCAAGTTTCGCCTCATGTGTGTGCATCTGACTTGGCCCTTTATAGTACAACTGCTTTATTTTGACATTGATTTGTTGATACAAAGGGCTGACTAGGGAAAAGATACTTTCATTAGAAATTACCCTCAGTACACATCAAGTTCAATTGTGGGTGAAATAGCTTTTTGAAAAATATTCTAAACATCACTTTCTGTACGGCTTTTAAGCACTATATCAATGTAAGAGTAATGTGGAACCACTTTATGCAGCTTTAGCAAGATAGATGTATTTTTAGATGGAGAAAAATTAGATTTTGTATTAAGAATGATGGTGAAATCTGATAAGATGCTTAACACAGGACACTGTCTATTTAAGCTATTGTCACATGTAGGTGATTCCCAGATGTCCTTGATAAGGCAGTAATTACATGAAGGAGGTTATGATAATTATAAACAAGAAACAAAACCATGAGAGTGATTTGTTCATTTGCCTTAACCTTGAAGTAGAATTAAAGGCTCCAGTGAAGAGAGTTTGTTCTGACTTTGCACCACCTGGCAGACTTCTCTCTATTGCCTAATTTCACCCCTGTCGGTTTCTCCTTCCTCATTTTCCCCTTACCTAATTTTGATAGTTAGGGTTCTTGCTCTAAAAGAAAACTATGGTTTATTGATGATTTTGGTAGCAGGAGTGGGTGAAATAAATGTCACATAAATGATCTCTAGAAAGACCTGTAGCAATTGTGTGTTGTGTTTTTCCTACTGGCTTTTTGACACAAGACCCAGTTACCCAGATGTGTTAGAATGAGCTGCTTTTGGTCACACTCATGTGGTTATTTTATGACAACAAGTTATTTGACCTTATTTGACCATTTTGATGCAGTTTATTTCTGATATATATGTAAATTAATTGCTAGGTTTGACCTATAGCCCACTCTTAACAGTAATGCAATGGTAGTGGACTGTTGATACATGAAAAGTTTAATTTTATTCCTCATTCCAATGTTCTTTATGATGCTTAGGCTCTAAAACTGAAGTACAAAATCAAACAACACATTTGCACTTTCGGTTTTGTACTTTATATAACCACACAGAACAAGCTTTACTGGCTGAAAATTGCATACAGAAGATAATATTTTAGCACTTGTCCAACTCATCACTGAGTCTTGTCAGTGCAAGGAGGGGATTCAGAAGGCAAAACAAGGCCTGGGACTGTAATAACACTGATCTAGTGTATGTTTGCCATGGAGTTGTGTTCTCAGCCTGGAAGTGCAAATACCTGTGTGTTTTCTGTGAGCTTGCTGAAGGCAAATCATTTACCTCTTTACTTTCATTAAAATTGCATTGGAACTGTGTTTGTGGCCTGGAAATCAAAGCAAGCAATTAACACCATGCTGGTACCTATTACAAACCCCCTACCTGCTTTCAGGGCAGCAGCCCAGGTAGCCATGGTTCATGGAGCTGGGAAATGGTCGCTTGGGATACACAGGATAAACAGGGCAGGGGAGCTGAAGCTGGGCCAAAATATACAGGCAGATAGTAGTGCCTGTGTCATAAACTTTTCTTCAGCTGAAGTACAGCAGACCACAACTACTAAAGTAGTTGTTGCCCAAATTTTATGTGAGTTGACCTGTAATTCTCTTCTATTGACAAACTGTGTATGAGAAATTATTATCAAAATAAATGGACGTGTGTAGTACTTTAATTTTCTGTTGTTACATGTAAAGTGATTAGCCTGCCGTGTACTACTTTCAATTTCAGTTGTTACATTTAAAGTGATTAGCTGGTTTATCTCATGATCATTAAATGTAGAGTAGTTTGAAACTTCCCATTCGTTGTCTGTGTTTTTCATTGACGCTTTCATTTGAAAGCAGGAAACAATCTGAAAGTAATTGTATTAAGTGTTTCAGCACAAAGATTTTAAAATATAATAGCTTGGCATGTTATTCTATCTTCTTAATATTCCTTGGAGGAAATAAAATGGAGTTGCAACTTTCATCCAGGCAGCTTTTCTACTACATCCTGTTTCCTTCCGCACACTGGAGAAAGCACTGACGTTTGTCTCCCTTTCCTCCACTTCCAATGAAAAAATCCCAGTCTCTTATGTTGTGGCACTCACTCCAGTGAACTCTAACACACTATTTGGGTTTAGGCAAATGTGAATTTTTCCCTCCTTGTCAAAGGGAAGATTGCAAGGAATAGAGGAATATGCACAGCCCTGGCTGCCTGGACTGCCCGAAGGCTGGCTGTGCAAGCAGTTGCTGTGGAAGGCTGACATCTCTGCTTTTCTCCCACTGAAAGGCAGACTTGCAGTCCCCCCTTTCTCAGAGGGAAACTGATCCCTGAAAAGGCTTGGCATGAAATGGATTAACTCCCTGGAAACTTTGTTTGGAAATGTTAGGAGACTGCTATGTATATGTGCTGGCGATCTCTGTAAGAGACAAATTATTTTCCCACCCTCTCAAGCACTTGGTAGTTTATCTGTTGTTTATATTAAAGATTGATCGTGGCTATATAGTCCTAATTCAGGGTTCCCATTAATCACCCTATGCCACATAAGAGACTGGAGAAGAAGAATGAGGGTTATTGGAAAACAGAAATGTGATCCCTGACTCTGCTTTTAATGTAACTTATCCTGGCATTAGCTTTGCTCCTATGAATTACTGCATTTGTGTAAACATATATATTTTTTTCCCATGTTTGGTGTGTCTGTTTTTCTCAGGGCTATTTAGAAATAGATGATATAGTTATTATAATGATTGAGGAGAACGTTAATCATGACACTTGCCATGTTACTATTTCAAGAGATCCCTGCTCCCCCCAGCAGGCCCACCCCCTTGTTTGCTACTACTGGCTTCCTCTCCCAGCCCCAGCAGCCATTTCCTCCCTCAGAGCAGATCCAGGCAATTGTTTCAGCCTGTGCAAAATGAAGAAGAGGTGGAAAAGAACCAGTGGGGTTAGGACAAATGCTCAAAGGCTGGGACTTCCTAAAGTGCAGCGGCTGCCAACAGTGAGATGCTTTCTGCCCCAGCAACAGAGCACATCTGTATGTCCTCCTCCTTGACCCCGCTGAAAGCTGCCAATCCTGAAATATTCAATCAGCCCTTTGTGGTCCCTTCCCCTCCTAAGTATGAGAGACAAAACTGCTGGCAAGAGGGAAAGAGAAGGGAATTTACGAGTTTTTACAAGTTCGTTTGGGCTATGAGAACACATTACCAGCCCTGCTTGGAGTCAGGTCCAGAAGCTCTGGAGCAAGCTGTTTTCTTGCCCTGACTTGTCTGCCTGAAAGTCCCTTTGCATCTTTGAGAGCTCTGCATTGAGCCCACCTCTTTAATGTGTTCTAGTGGGTAATCATTGCATCAGTAAATTCTCAACCAATAGGAGATTTAATCCTTTTTTTAATTATTATTTTCTGTGTGCTTGTCTGTGCCTCATAGAAAGAAATTACTTGAATTTTAAAAGAATCAATCAAAAAAAATTTGCTCTGAAGAGGCTGGTATCATTTAATACAGATTACCTTCTCTTTATTTGTAGTTCCACTAAACATACTTTGCCAGGTATATCCTAATTCTGCACAGATTTTTCTCTTGTGTCATGTTACATTCATGTCTGACTTCTTTGGTGCAAAATCCTGTTATTAAATTAGTTATTTAACAGCATATTCAATGCTGAATTATGGCTGTTACTGCTGGTTTGTGTTTATAACTAAACATCCTTTGCACAAAAAACAACGGCTCACCGGAAGTTCTGCAAACCTAGAGAATTTAGATGCATTAATTGTGATGAAAGCACATATTTAGTGAAAACAAAGGAGGAGGAATGATATAGGAAAGTCTTATATCTGAAAATCTGCAATAATTTTACACATAATTGCACAGAAACAGTGGTTTTAGAGGACTAGGTACTTTCTAAAGACTTTGGTTCAAACTCATTTAGATTGCTTGGTTTTCCCCCCTGTAACTACCTTTGATGGCATATTGTACATATAAGAATAAGAGGATTTATTTCTGAGCTGGGAATAGGTTTTTAATCAGACTCAGTAATGTAAATAGACCTCTATTTAAAAGTTCATTCAAAACTGAGTACTGGTGTGTGTTTAAGTACACTATATTCTGAAGTAGAAATATCCTCCAGTGTTTAACCAAAAGCATGTTTAATGTGTGGTTTTGTTTTGTTTTTTTAATGTTTAACAGTAACTGAAGCTGGCTTTGGTGCTGACATTGGGATGGAGAAATTCTTCAACATCAAATGCAGAGCCTCTGGCTTGGTTCCCAGTGTGGTTGTACTTGTTGCTACAGTGAGGGCTTTGAAGATGCATGGAGGTGGGCCAAATGTAAGTTTTTGCACCTTTCTTGGAAAAATCAAATTGTTGCTAATATTTGAAATAAGTAAAATACCTTGATTTAAGAAATATTTGGTGTAGTCTGTGGGGCAGTAATTAGATAACCCTTCTGAGATACCTCATGGTATAGATGTTATCACTAAAGTTAATGCTATCTCTAAAATTAAGCCACAAATGGAAGATGAGGGGCAAAAGAGCTCTGAAGAAGCACTATATCATGCAAAGGAAGGGAAGGTTGTTGCATTAAAAAAAAAATAAATAAATAAAAGGCTGTAAGAGATAGATATTCTTTTCCCTGCCTTTTGAAATAGCATTTGTAAGTGCACTGAAGTCGTCACAGGCTGGGAAATTTGACAGCCGAGGAGGAATGAGAAGAGTTCAAGTTGCAGCATGTGAGTGGAAGTAGAGAACATTGTTAGTGAAGGTTTTGACATTTCTTTCACTCCAGTAATGGGTACCCATTATGTCCTTTTATTTTGCTCAGATTAATTCCCTCGGGGATGCTAAAGTAACTGATGAAATTTTGCAAGTGTTTTCCTGGTGTACCAAGAGTCACCGGTGTTTCATTTTTTGCTGTCTAAGCCACAAAGAGATTTTACAGATTACTGATTGTAGAAATGCTCCCTGAATGTGCAATCAGATCAGACTGTGCTAGCCAAGCAGACAGACACTTAACTCCTAGGAACACTTTCATCTGCCCAGCAGCATGCTGGAGAGTGATGCTGCCAGGGAAATGGTCGCACTGGGGGAAAATACCAGAGCTGTTTCTACAGGCACAAAATTTTAGAAGGCATGGTTTCCCTTGCAGCTAATCTTCTCTAAGAGTTAAAGCTGAGCTACCCTTTTTCAGTCTTTCAGGTTAATATAATGATATAATTTTCTATCATTTTAGTACACTTCTGATTCATGTTTTCTTTATTTTTAATTATACTTCTCCATCCCTATCAAGATAAGTATGTTTTCACATGTGTTATCACTCAATCTAGCAAAAATAGGACTTAAATATATCTTAATAACTCTATTTCTGTCTCACTTGTGTCCTTAGAAGTTTAAACGTTTCATTTATTTACATCACTGAGGCATGTAGAGTACCAGATACTTTTACTGGGAGGTTAACTACAAAAAGGACTAATGCTAGAGATAAAATTGAGTGAATCTGGTGCCTGGGATTGACGTTATGTGCTCCTTGGAGACTCAGTACATCACTCAGTGATCATCCCCGCGATGCATTTTGCATGTATGCCTTGTGCTTTCCAACTAATTACTTGCATGCAGTTCCTTGCCATGGGCAGTAATTAAAGAATCAAAGATGATGTTCTTCTATGTTGCTGTCATTTCTTCAGCTGTTGGAAATTGCTGCCTGTTGTCTTTGCTCTGCTGGTGTGCTGTAACAACATGTAGAATGTGATCCAGCTGCCTCCCCTAGTAGTCTTTTGCAGCTAATTGCTGAGACACTACGTGTGTCTTGCTACCCAAATACAATAGGAGGCGTTACTATTGTTTGTGTGCTGGTGCAACTTGGAGTAAAAAACAAGCTGCAGTCAGGCTGTGATGCTGGGTGCACTGATATGGGTTAAGTGACAGTACAGAAAGCAAGCAAAATTGCACTTCAGGCCCTTTAGGGTTATGACAAGTATCAATTTGTGATGACTTTGCTTGTTTATTATTGCCTGATTCCAGGTAACTGCTGGTGCACCCTTGAAGAAAGAATACACAGAAGAGGTAAGAGGAACTGTTAAAAAACTTTAAAGACGGTTTTGTTTAAAGGAACAAAATAATATGGTGTACAGAGAATCAGAACTTCTTGCTCTGGCCTAGACAGTGTGCAGCCTCAGGTTTGACAGTAGCATGCTCTAAAGCTGACATTTAGTGAACATCTTTAACAGGCACTGCCAACAACTAAAACCATCTCATCCTCCTTCAGCCCCTTTGTGTTACCCCTCTTAGGTGTATGTGTGTGACTGCATGGTGGATTGTAATAACAAGCTGAAATAGCTGAAAAATAACCTTTTTTTAATAGTTTTTCCAGGGCCACTAAGTTTTTCAGACTGATCAATGTACAGGCATTTATAAAGAGCAGTGTGGTGTAGGAGTCAAGGACAGTCCCTGAAATTAAAGATAGCACAACCTCTTCATTAAAAAACAAGTTTAATATGTTTATGCTTCACATTTGGGGTGGAATGTCACTCTTCAAAAAAGAGTGAATTCTATTGGCTTGTTTTCTTTGTCACTTCAGACAAGTTTTTGTCTTCTGCTTGTATGAAGCTAAGGATATCTGCTTTGTTACAGCTAAGACAGGGCCTACAAAGTGTGAGATGAAAGAGTGAATAAGGAAATCCAGTAATGTGCTTGGAATAGTCTATGTATGTGTATATATGAACTCTGCATCTAACACATCTGTATGTCAAACCCCACCCCACTGCTGCAGTCTGTTAATAAACTTTGCAAACAGCACACTAACATCCCTTTCACAATCATGACAAGCAACCAGTCATCAGCTGCACCATCTTCCTGTGTCTCAGAAGAGAGCAATGGGTTCATGTACAAATTTTGGACACTGCTAAGTTACTTAATGGTGTCTGATACTTATTAATTGGAATGAGAATTAATAAGTGCCAGAATACTTTCATCTGGAAGAATTTCACTTTCCTGCAACTGTCATGATCAGCACTGTTTATGTTCACTTAAATTCATGGAAAATTCTTTGGCTGGAGAAGACTATGTATTTTACCATTTTCATTATTTCTTATTTAATTGCACAGAACCTCCAGCTGGTAGCTGATGGCTGCTGTAATCTACAGAAGCAGATTCAAATTACTCAGCTCTTTGGAGTTCCTGTTGTGGTTGCTCTAAACGTCTTCAAGTAAGTCTGTTCTTTCATTACTCTTGTTCAAATTCCTCACTTTTCTTGGTATTTAAATTATTCAATTTGGCATGAACAAAGAAGCTATTTAAGAGTTTCCTTTTTTCATCATGAATATAAAGATATTTAAGTTCTTAGCTTGTTCTTAAGGTTCTAAAACCAACAAAAAATATACACTATTACAATATACTATTATACTGATACAATAGTATACTATTACGATACTGATAATACTATGTTAATTAGCTATAACAATTACAAAATTTTCTTGAAACATGAAAATATATATGCTGCATTTAAATGCATTGTGTATTTGGCACAATTTCTATATATACTTGCGTTACCACTGCTGATGGTAAAATAAGGCTAAGTTTGTAAGGTTGTAACAGAGAACTAATTAAACAAAATAATGAGACAGGACTGTTTGGTTGGCAGAACTGACTCTCCAGCTGAGGTTGATCTGGTGTGTAAGATTGCAAAGGAGTCTGGAGCATTTGATGCTGTACCCTGCAATCACTGGTCGGTTGGTGGTAAAGGAGCAATAAAATTAGCTCAAGCTGTGGAAAAGGCAGCCAATCAAAAAAACAGTTTCAAATATCTCTACAGCTTGGAGGTAAGATTTCTTTTCTTTTTTTTTTTTTTTTTTAATGAATGCATTTTGCATACAAGTTGGATTTAAAACGAGAAGAATATTGAGAATATTGTAACAAAGTTATCTAAAATACTTGGAAAAGAACTTGTCTTGGTTTAAAATTGTAAAAGCTGGAGATAACAAGCAATCTGTGGCTTGTCTAATCAGGGAGTAGGATACTCACTGGTAATGATCATTACTTAGTGCATTGAATGATACATCTGATTCTTTCATGTTTAACATAAAAGTATGTGTGCAGATAGAACACTCACCGATTATTTTGAGAGACTTCTTCAAAGATCTCACAGTCACAGTATTCATTCTGTCAGTTAGATAAAAGGAGATGTAGTTGCTGTCTCACAGTCACAGGTATTGCACCAAGTTGTGGCTTCCTGAAGCATTCACTGTGTGTATGAGAAGGAATGTGACAAGTAGCATATCCATGCTCATCCCATGCATCTGCCCAGCCCAGCCAGGTCAATACAGAGGGGAAGCAGTGCCCTTACCTGCACCCTCCTACACAGCCAGCTCAGCTGAACACAGAGTGCAGCTGATCCAGTGCTTTTCCTTCTCTCCTGATGATCAGAGGAGTCTGCCAGTACAATATGGTACACACAATACATGGGTCACTGCTACTGCTGCTGGCCTCAGGTCCTCAGTCTATTCAGGAGCAGCCCCCAGGGCCTCTGTCCTGCTCCAGCTGATGCCACCAGAGTCCACAAGCCCCTGAGTGAGTTTGCAGCTCACTACAGCTGATGGGCACAGCCTTTTCCTCGCACTCTCTGTCCTCATATGTACAGAGCAGACAGCACACCCACACAAAAGGCAGTCAGAGACCAGATTTAATAAGAATAGAGAGGTCCTCAAGCACATAGCTCAGTTAGTCAGACTGCTGGTCAGACACCTTTACACACAGCTGCCCCTATTCTTCCCCTATTCTCTCATTTTCTTCCCACACTTGTTCCTTTTCAATCCACCTTGATTGCTCCTTTTCCCATCTTTGCTCCTTCCACTAAACAATCTTTACACATTCTGACTATCCTCTTTGAAAATCCCATCATAAGGCTCACATGGTCCCAAAATTTGCTTTTTCATACATCCCATAGAGTCCTGTGCTGCTGCATGAAATCACTTCCTTTCATTTGCAAAGTTTTTTGATCAAAGAGTTTCCCTATTGACCCACCTTGGTGCCTTTCACACCAAGGACAATGATCTCATCTTCTCCTTGGGTTGTCATAGGAAACAGGCTCAGGGTGCTCTAATTTTCACTGATTACTTTTGTCCAGTGATTACATTACAGAGGGTTCCTCCACCTATCATTGTTCCTCTGATCCTTGCTGGGGCTTTGGGGCTAATTTGCTTAGCCCTCAGATAACCTAAAAAAGGACAGTGTGGTCCAAGTTTCAGTCCTGTGTCTGCCAGAGTTAGTGACTCTTTTTCCATGCCTTGCAGACTGTTATTGCAGTTGTCTGCAAGGGAACATCACAGCATTGTGAGCTGTCAAGAGGAGCTTGGACCCCAGGGAGCACTGGAGATGCTGGGGTACCACTGTGCTGGCAGAACATTTGGAGGGACATACTGCCAAAAAGGTTATACAAGGGATTTCTCAGGGCCTTCCTGGCTATCCAAGTGTGAGTGGGTTTAAATCTGAACAGCCAAACAGACTTCTCTGGCTCAAAGGAAGCCCTTGTCAAGTTTCAGATCCTGTGCCCGTGCTACTTAAGTTTCTTTAGAAAATGTTCAAATGCTATTTTTTTACAACAGAACCTCAGCTTCATTCTTTTAAATGGCTGGAAGTTCCTGTTTTGATTCTTTTCTCCAGAAAAAAGTTCAGCCTGAGGTAGATATGCCCTACGGTCATCTTTCATTCTCTCTTCTCCTTGATATGCACCCTGTATCTTTTGCACCCATTTTATTTTTTTCTTTCCACCTCCCCTGCTGTTTTACAAAATGTCAGTAATCCAGCCAACCCATATCTGTATTAACCCCTGCCCTGACAGAATAGATGGAAACATGTTGGGAATATTAGTGCTGCAGCATGTATTCAAGGCATTTTGCTCATGCAACAATTTTACAGCTGAAAAATGGACAATGTAAAGGCCTTTCTAAGTTTGTCTCTACTGAGATGCTCTGAAAACTGAGGCTATAATGTTATGAGGCTTGTGTAATAAAAGGGGGGGAAAATTATTTGAGAAATACATGTAATAGTTTTCCCCACTGGACACTTCTGTTACAGGGATAGCACTGTATTAACCTTTGACAAGGCTCATACTAAAGCTCTGGTGTTACTATACACTGTATAGCTTACAATCTGGTGGTACTAGTGAGTAAAAAGCATTGGTAGGGGGAGACTCTGCCTATAAAGAAAATCAGATTGATTTCCACTTTAATGTCTTTCCCAGACACGTCGTTTTGTGCTGTGTTGCATAAGCAGCAGGATCTTGAGCACAAAGGGAATGAATCACATCTTTACATCAACTTAGTACCCCATAACTTCACACAAGTATTGTAATCCTCAAAAATACATTGAAGGGATTTTATAAAAACACATAAAGATTTTAAAATACCGTAAAAAAGTACATTCAGGCCAACAAAAACAGTGAAGTGTAAAGTTCAGGCTTCTGTTTCATCCTTCCTGTGCAAAGGATGGAGACTGAAGCAGCTGGAAGTAGGAGAATGAAACAGCAATGCTGCCACTTTTACAGTATGTAGGTCAATTGGTTAGTAGGCTCACAGACAAATGAAGGAAAGCCACCTCTCCCAAATAAGCCTGCCCTTATTTTTTTTTTTGGGGGGGGGGGGTTGTTGTAGCAATTTTGAGATGTGTTTTCTGCTGTTTAAAGGGGTAAAATTAAGACATTTAAGGAAGATAAGAAGAAGTAAAATGGAATTCAAGCAGATTATTTCCCCTTTCATTGTGCCTAAAGGGGGTGTAACTGAAAGGACATAGTTCCATCCCTTATCTGATTGTCAGACTTGTCCAGTTATTTGAATAATATTAAGTCCTGGTTGCCTCAAATTTCATAGGATTTATTGTGGTTGGGGTTGTTTTTCTGTTTTCTTTCCCTTTTGGAGGGCCAAAAAGGGGAAATACTCTGCTTAAAACCACTACCACTTAATTCATATACTTTTCTGTCTTCATGAGATTGCTCTACTGTTCCCTTTACTCCATGTCTCCATTTAATCCTGTGATGTCTATGCACCTTGTTTTCCTGTTGGAAAACTTAATCAGATTTTGCTTACAGAACTGGCTATAATTAGAAAAATTTTCAACAGCACAGACTGCTGTAGCTGTTAACAGGTTCATTTGATATTTTGATCTTTTGTTTGACAGCAACACCCAGGGTATTTAAAAAAAAAATCTTCAAAGCCTTATATGTAAAACTGTTTCATATCCTTTTTCTAGTTAGAACAAACTTTGCAGTAAACTATATTATTAGTGTGCAATATGACATGTACTTAGAGGATAACCCATGTCAAGTGGGCTGTCTTTGTTTCATTTTTTTTCCAAATTCATTCATCCCTGTAGTGCTTTATGTAATTTCCAAATATGTCTTTGAAAACAAAAGCTTCCTTGAAGGATGTTTACAAATGTGTATAGTGTGAGAAGAACACTAGAAGAAAGTATTTTCTAGGTCTGTCAAATGCTGGTTAAAAGTTGAGAATCAGCTGGATTTTTCTGAAGTATCTTCATTTATTTATGCCATCTTGTCCAGTGAAACCTGAGCATGTGCCAAGTGAGCCATTTTAGACATTGGACACAACATAGTTCTATCAGTTCAGGATTCAGGCTCTGCTCCTGTTCAGTATCATGGCAAGCCAGTCTAATTAGAAGACTGTGCTAATTTTATTCCTTGAAGCATCTAATTTGGTCTCTTTAAACTTCCTTGTGTGTCATTCCATGACACACTCTTCTATAGTCCCACTTTTAGATGGCTTTTTGGGTTCTCTTTATTTCTTTCTCTAAGCAGGCAATATTTTTTTTTTATCCTAGTGGCTACTAGTTCTAGTTTGACCTTTTTTAGTCTTGATTATAGCAACGGTTTGTTTGACGTTTGGTATGAGATTAACAAATATTTTGGGGAGCTTCGAATGAGAGCAGAATATCTCATATATAGTTTTGGGATTGCGGCAGTCACTTCATGGATCAAATACAAGACATGACCTATGACAAGTAAATACTGCACCATTGACACTGTAAAAATGTAAGAAACGGACAGAAACAACTGGAGTACCCTGAAATGCTTGCAGCATTAGGAATTGCTCAGGTTGGAGGGGTGGTTCAGTAGCAAGGATGAGTTTTTGTATCATGGACTTCAGAGTTTATAACATAGCTTAAAATATTTTTGGCAGTAATTGAAGTAAATACGATGGTATTGTGTGGTTTTAGTGTGGATTTTTGCCCCCTCTGCACAATAACCTCTATTGAGTTACTGTTGAGTTGGTTTCTTGCAGAGTGTTTCTCTTCAGTGTTTGAAGGATGGGTTTGTTTAAAAGGCCTCCTGAACTCTTTGTGAAATCATCTGTGGTGGTTTATTTTAATATATATTCTTGCTACATATGGAAAATATCAAAATATCAATCCTCTTATCACTGTTGACTTCCCTTCTGGGTTCAGTTTTCTTGAAGTATGGGTCTTTAAGTTGCAGCAGAAAGCTATTACTCAAAATAAAGTTGACTGAACCATTAAAAGTAAGTTTAGATAACTAGGGGGAGGAAAGGAGATGATGGAAACACATCCCATTTCCAAATTTCTCTGGCTTCAGCGCCTGTTCTTGATCAGGAGAAGGGCGAAGCTATATTCCTCACTAATGCATGCCTGTTGAGTGACCTGCCTTCACTATCCTTGTCTCCCCTCTTCTGCTGTGGTGAACTCTTCCTTGACTTAGAGCAGCCCTCCTCAACCTGGGACAAGAAGCATAGGTCTGAAGAAGGCAGGTATTAGGTTTTTAAAAGAGACATTGCCCCTTCCTGCAGGCAGC